GAGATCTTTTTGGTACCGTCAATATATACACATCATTGCTTTGAATTATTTAGGAGGGATAATAACTGGGGCTGTGGTCTGATGGGTAGGAACCTTTCCTATTCACAGGGGAGAGACAGAGGGACAGGAGAGATAGATCAAGGGATCCTGTCACTGCAGTCACAGGACTGTCACCATCACGTTCCCAGCCATCCACCTGAAACTGATTTAAATATAGATATGTGCGCACTCCCAGCTGGCATCTGCTACATTTACTTTTCATGGATTACTGGTTTGTCAGCATAAACACATTTACCAGGTTCAAAGTGAGATCATAGACAAGAAATCAATCAAATTAAAAGCTCCAAGAGATTTCACCTCGAACAGCAAATCCCAATGCTTATAATTAAAGCAGGATGCAGACATTTTTTGCATTAGCATCAATAGTAGCATGTATCCAGCCTTCATCACATATGTAGCAGAATACTGGCAAATACTAGATTTCCATCAGTAGGATTCAGATTTCAAGGGGACAAATCACCAAATTCATCATTTTAATGCAGCACAGACAAGGCATTTTGATTACACCCAGATATTCCCAGTTTTTATGAATTGCCTTGTGTTCATGCTATACCCTATATTCTTAAAGATGGCATGCAAACTGAAAAAGAAAAATTCACTAAAAGATCTGAATGAATTTTAAGATCAAATCAATGCAATAGACTTACTGCTACTGAGTTACCATCTTTTCTATGGGGAGATTCTGAATGGGGCTCAGCTACCTTTAGTTTCTCTGCAGAAAGAAGTTGTTTAAATAGATAAGCTCACATCCAGACATAAAAATCACAAAATCTATGTTGCCTTTTACTGACATTGACTGAAACTTTAAAATCCAACACCCAGTTTTCTAGTGAACCACGGACTGAATATCCATTAAAATATGGCGGCATTTCTGTTTTCAATTCATTTTTTGATTTAAGTTTATTAAAGCATTTCTGTCATCTGGATTATTTTTCCTACCACTTATCAGGTGAAGGCCCTGATTTGCTGGAGGTTCCTACAGCCCACAGGCCTGCTACAAATCAGGGCTTGCAGATTCACTTGTCTAGACTTGAGAAAGGGATGGAGAAAATGTTAATGATGCTGATTAAATTTCAAAGTGTGTCATGACAATGGGTTTTTCCAGAGAGGCAGCAGTTAAACTTTTACCAACACACCTCTACCTATAACTGGTACAATAACGAGGACCTTATATTGGTCTCTAGATAAGTGAAGAGTCTTAATTCTACCTGTTGATGGAGAATTCAAAATTCTCCATCTAAGCCACTGATTTGGGATCTCAACCAGCTAATGCCTGTGTTTACCTAAGTATACTTTTAAGGTTTCTACTTATGTTGCCGTGCAATCATTTTTCAGTAATGTCCAACTCTTTATGACCCCATTTGGGGTTTTCTTGGCAAAGATATTGAATGGTTTTCCATTTCCTTCTCCAGCTCATTTTACTTATAGATTACATTTATTAAGGTGGTTTTTTTTTCTACTCTCAAAATATCTCTATATATTCCTTTAAATTGAGCTTCAAACTTACACTGTGCTAAGTCAAAGTTCCTGTGGATTAAAAAGATCCCTGTTCATTCTTCACCTACCATGCTCCACATAAGTCCTCCCAACCTCCCTACCAGCTCTGACCTTTCTGAATTTCCAGATTTGCAAATGTCTTGCAACTCCGACTGTGTTCCAAGTTAATGTATGTTTCCCCTGTATTCATTTAGTAATTCAATTTCTTTTAACCTTATATTTCTCTGCCTCCAAACCATATTCCAATTGTATTGTTAATCCTAGTTTCTCCTTTTCTGTTTAAATCTCTCTTGCAAATTAGCACACTTTTCCAGCCTTTAGACTAGCAGCTTTCATATCTAAACATGTAACCCATAGTGATTAGGCTTTTAGGTGCATAGGCTAATGCTGTTTGCAAAATGTCTTATATGAATCATAACAGCTTGCTCATGGGTCATCAGAGGTAAACTACCAATTACCATGTGCAGTTTCCGTTTTCCACAAGGCATTTTCTAATTTGCTTTCTTGCTTAAGTAATTAGAGCTGCAGGGTGCAGCCCACTCTCCTTTTTTCTCTAGTTCCCATTGGGTTCTTAAACAATTACAGTATATCTGTATATCCTCTGCATCCATTTGCTTAAAAAAGTTGAATTCAACCAAGCGATTTATGTCTGCTTCCTCCCTTTGGGTGATCTTAACAACTCCCATGGATTTAACTAGCATCTCTGTGAAATTATCTTCAAAATCTTTGTCTTCAGCCCTCCTCTCTCTCCTCAGCCTAACTACCTAGAGATCTCCATTGGATGCCCCATTAGGATCTCAAACTCAACAATGATAACCAGCTGTCTTCCCTGCTCAATCCATTCTCCCAAACAGCTATTTCTGTTGAGGGCACCATCAATCTTCTGTCAAGGGCACCATCAATCTTCTGTCAACTCTTCACTCTCCTTTTAACCCATATCTAGCTGGTTACTAAGTCTTGATATTTCTAGTTTCAAATCTCTCTAACATACACACTCTTCTCCCTACTCATATCATAACCAAGATAATGAAGGCTTTCATTCCATTCATCTAGCAACTTGACAGCACAGTGGAGGTAGCGCCAGGCCTGGAGTCAAGAGCACTTATCTTTGTGAGTTCAAGTCCAGCCTCAGACACTTACTAGCTGTGTGACCCTAGGCAAGTCACTTAACCCTGCTTACGTTATCTGTAAAACTGAGCTAGAGAAAGAAAGGCAAACTATTCCAGTATCTTTGCCAAGAAAATGGGGACACGAAGTGTCAGACATGACTAAAAAATGACTGAACAAATCAGCACTTCACCCAGACTATTAAAATAGTCTGATTCATTCTCCCTGTTTTAAGTCTCTCCCGCAACCTATCCTCTAAGTAGCTGCCAAAATAATCTTCCTACCACACAGGTTTGAATGTTGCTCCCTTATTCAAGAATCTTCAGTGGCTCCCTATTGGGTCTAGAATAGACTATAAATTCCTCAGCTTGACATTTAAAGTTCTCAATCTGGTTCCAGCCTACCTTTTCAGACATTTAACATTACTTCCCTTCACAGAAACTGTGTTGCAGCCAAACTGGAGACACCTAGGTACAGTGGAAGCAGCAATGAACTTGGACTAAAGTTCAAATCCCTGCTCTGATTTGGGGCAAGGCTCTATATTTCAATCCTCTCATCCAATGGAAGGAGAGAGCTAACCTACAAATCTTGATTATTGATTAGATGAAAAGGGAGGGAGAAGGAAGCCTCGGTCAATGATGTCACAGACAGTAGCAAAGCAGGACTAAGGGAAAAATTTGGCCATGTCAAGTTTGAGATAAGACAAGATGCCCAGATGTCGAGATACATGAAGGCAGCTATAGATGGAGGTGGAGCTCAGAACAGATGCCAGGCCTAAACATATGAGAGAGAATTCCTCTTCCTCTATGAAGGAGCTGCAGGAGTATGAGATTGGTAAGACAGGAGAGACAGACATAACCTTGGGGAACACTCCTAGAGCCAGCAGGAACAGAGACAGAGAAGGGGTTTGTGAGACTGTTAGAGAACCAAGGGCATTGTGTCTCACAAACTACAAAAGGACAATCTATCCAGTCACAGATAAGGGTCAGTTGTGACAACAGAGTATGAGGAATAGAAGTTCACTGGATTTGGGGGTGGGGCGATTGGCAACCTTAAAGGAATGAGGGCTAAGGAGACTGATATCAAGCACAGACAACTTTTCTTTTCAAGAAATCTGGGATGGAAGCTGAAATGATCAAGGCAAGGTAACTTTCTTTAGAATTTAGGAGATCTGAGCATGTTTACCAATAGGGAAAAGAGCCAATAGGGAAGCACAGATGGAAGAGGCAGGCGAGAGGGTCCCACAGGAAATGAGAATGGGATCAAAGGCACAGTGGGTCTATAGGGATTTGGCATAGGTAACCCAAAGGAAGAGGAGGAGCAGATAGTATTGAGTTTTGAGGTATGAAAGTACTGAGGAAGAGCTAAAGAAATCAAAGTCATTCAGTGAAGTGACAGCTTAGGTCAGGGATGGAGAACCTGCGGCCTTGAGGCCACCTGCGACCCTACATAAAAGGATCTGTTCTGTGAAGTTTAGATTCAGTCAAAGGGCCATACCTGAGGACCTAGAGGGCCACACTTGGCCTCAAGGCTGCAGGTTCGAAATGTGATAGGATTTCAGGGGAAAGAAGAAAAGTTTCAGAATAGATACTATGGAAAAGGAGACAGGGAATCACTGAGGCGAGAGTAAAAGGGGGGTACAGCAATACACAAGTCCCAGCTTAGGTTAATAAACTGAGCAGCTTGCAGCATACGTATTTTGTAAAACAGCTCTCCTAGCTGTTACTGAAAAAAGAAATCTAAAGAAGAAATGGATCCGAGTGAATTTGTTAACTGTGTGTATATTTGTAACCAACTCAATTTGAACTAGACAATGACGTGGGAAAAACTTTCTACACAGACTATGTCAAGAATTTTTTATTCGATGTTACATTAAAATACACTTACAGCATTCAAAAGGGACTGCTTTATAAACTTCTAAAGTTTATTTAGACAATAAGATAAACCCTAGTCTTACAATACAGCCCTTAAGATAAAGTTTTAATGTTAAGCACAGTTCTATTAAGAACTATTTATAGATTCTGGATGCATAGCTTTGCTTAAGAGGAAATGCAATGAAATTATACATTCCAACGAACATCAATTTCAAAGCACAACATCATCTGGGTTCTAAATAACATTGAAGGAATTTCCACTCAATGGTAGAGCTCCAGTTTTTGCACAATAAAAATGCTGACGATTCTATTGAGAGCCTGATCCCCAAGTCCCTGTGGCAGGAGGTTATGTTTTGACATGACCACAAACATTACACTAATGTTTGGGACAGCATATAGACAGGATACTAAGGAATGTCTCTTATTTCAGAAAGAATTCTGAGTCTTGTGAGGGAGCCCTGTCTATGCAGCTGAGAGAGGACCGTCACTGCTGCTCTAGAGGAATTCCACACTTTCCATCTTGGGCAGTATTATATGACTCACAGCTCTTACATTTCATTCCTAATATGTGGAACTGGACTGTCGAGCGGGCACTGCAGTCATTGCAGAGAATCTGTAACAAAACAACCGAAAAGACCTTCAGGGAAAGAACGTTCTTTCCAACAGAGCCAAGAAATATACAAATGTCATTCTGAAAACGTTTAGAAGATATTTTATTTTTCTAAATTAAAAGTTTCAAAATGTCACTGACATCATTTCAAAGAATAATGAATTCAGAAAACCTAAATCTGGAATGAATCATTTTGTTTTCTTTAAAAAGTATCATCTAAAAATGAGACTAAACCCCAGGAAGGGCACATGGCATAGTGAATGGGGAGCCAACTGGACATAAGACCTGGATTCAAAATGCTATCCACATCCACAGAAAGAACTAAGGAGTTTGAATGCAGATAGAAGCAGACTATTTGCTCTCTTTTTTCTTTGTATTGTTTTGTTTTGTCTTTCTCGTGGTTCCTCCCATTGGTTCTAATTCTTCTTTACAACATCACTAATGTGAAAATATGCTTAATAGGAATGTATGTGTAGAGTCTATATCAGATTGCCTGCCACCTTGGGGAGGGGGGAAGGAGGAGAAAATTTAAAACTCAAAAGCTTACGGAAGTGAATGTTGAAAACTAAAAATAAATAAAAACAGACAAAAAAAAAAGACCTGGTGACTCTGGGAGTACACACACACACACACCCTTGAACAAGACACTAGTCACCCTGGCTCCAAGCTACACAAAAATCCCATCAGCCTATCAAGACGCCAAGAACTCTTGATTTTTCAGACTGGTGTATTATCTTTCCTCTGCACAGAAAATCTCACTCCAGCCATTAAAATGTCCCTGCTTTTCCAAGCAAGCTTGGAGCCTTACTGTCTGGGCTCCATTAAACATCAGAATTTCGGAACTAGATGAGATGAAAAAATGAATGAGGCTGAGTAGCTTGCTGAGATCCATTACGCTGAAAAAGACCTTGCTAAAAATTTTTTAAGTAACCAGAAAAAAGTAAATTCAATTAAAAACAAAACAAAACTCAAGAGTAATACAAGCTCTGAAGTACAACATACGAATCTGGCAGCACGTTTGTGCCTCCGGTCACATCAATTTGCAGCACAATCTGGGTCTGACCTTAGGGCTCGCTCTCTCTCCATAGACCTGGCTTCGAGATAAAATGCTTGTTCTTTAGATCGTGTTTCTTAGAAGCACTAAAGGGGTCGCAAGTGAAAAAAGTTCCAGAAGCCCTGCTTTAGATATAGAACAGAGGTTCTAGGCCTCTGTGCACATGCACACAATTCTATTTTGCATCCATACATAATCCTCAGCACAGCCCAGGATGGAAGCAGAAGAGGTGCTAGTATCAACCTTATGTCAGGGCTCTTAGGTCTATCACACAATCTTGCAATATCTCAAAATATGCCAGGAGTCTGCTGGGGGGGGGGGAGGCCTTAAAAGGTTCTGTTTTGTTCTACCAAAAAAATGTTTTGGTGTGGTCAGCAAACACAGTGAGATGGCGTATGTCAGCCACTCCTAGTGGTACAGTAAGCTACAGAGTACAGGGATAAAATCCTGCCGCTTCTTCCCTTTTCACGGTTTCCACTGATGAGATCCTCAAGTGGAATCAGATTACTCTTAAAAGGACTTTTTAGAGGTCAGAAAGCAAATAATCTTGAGCTATAATGTCATCTTTACAATTAACTGCCAGCATCTGCTTCAGAAGAGGAGGGGAGGGCAAGAGGAAGTCGGCGGCAGGTGCTCAGAGTTCGGGAACGATCTGAATACTCACTTCCACAGTCATGTTCTGATACTCTTTGGGCATTGGTGTTTGTGCCACTTCGTTATCCAACTGCCGCCAATAGCGAGTCATGTCTAGAGCAGAGTGCATACACAATGGACACCTGTAGCCTCTAAAGACAAGAGCAACAGAAGGTTTTACCAAGTCAGATCTGGTGCGTCTATGATGACAGCAGGCCCCTCTGATGGCTTCAGGCAGCTAATACACAAACGGCCATCCTATCAGAAGCTGTCCTGGCATGGGACAGTCTACAACCTTCTCCCTTGTTCCAATGCTCAATCACTCTTAGAATAAAGGTTCTTCCTCACATTGCTGTATTTCTTGTTATAACTTAATCCCATTCTTTCTTCAGTCTTCTGAAGAGAACTAGTTTGTTTTCTCTGCAAAATAACTACATAATAATGATAATAGCTACTATTTATATAGTACTTACTAGGTGCCAGGCACTAAGTGTTTTATAATTATTATCTTATTTGGGCCTCAGAACAAACCTGGGAAGTCGGTGCTATTATGTTTTACAGATGAGGCAGAGTTTAATGGTTTGCACAGGGTCCCACAGTTACTATGTGTCTCAGGCTGAATCTAAACTCGGGTCTTCCTGACTCTGGGCCTAGCACTCTATCCTCTGCGCCACCTAGCTACGACATGAACATTATTTAATCATTCGAAGCAAGCTGAAATGCTTGGCAGCTCCATGGCTCACACCCAATTTAAGCTTCTGCCGACGTTCTAACTCCCATGATTTATTCCTACCAGGGCTGTGATTACCCATCCTTTCTCACTGCCAAGTCTTCCTACCTGGCAGGAGTGGGCAATACCAGACAGCCCTGGACTGGGAACTGGAGACCAGGCCTCCAACTCTCCCAGTGATTCAGCCGTCACAGCTTCTCAGAGCCTCGTCAGTCTCCTTAGCAATTAAGCGAGTCTCTTGCAGCCCTAAAGCCATGTTATAACCCAGGCCTGCCGCTAACTGCACACCAAAGGATTTTAGGTGGCCCTGGAAAAATACAGAAGAAACCATTCTCTACATTTTTCACAAGTTGCCCAAAGTCCACTGGTGTGCCCATGGGCTGCAGATTGTGCAGGCAGGAGTATACATGTTGTAACCTGATGACAATTTTAGAAAACCTTCTGCACGCAGGATTCACCACCAGCTACCTAATCCAGCCTTTTCTCTGGCAGCTGTATGCCAAGTCTAAAAAAACGAGGACATCTCTCTGACATGAGTTTGGACAGAAGTGCACTGGAAGCACGGAACAGGGTCTGGCCAGGGCTCTGTGTATGTCGTGCCTCTCTCCCCAAGTAGAGGAACTGGCCTAGTTAACCTCTGGGTCTGTCTTCCTCTCAGGATGTAGAATATCACTCTCAGGGGCCTGGGAGACCCAAGATGTTATTAAACTGTTAAAATGTAGGATTGCCAGAATGTAGAAAACTCACTCTTTTAACATTTCTTCATAACATGTTCTGAAAGACAATAAATTTATTTTTATTAAATTAAAATTTATTGAATTTTTTAAAGTTGCTTATTCTTTAATATTTTATAGGAAAACAAAAAAGGTTCCTTTTACCTACCTGTGTAGAAGATGTCCACAGGGCAAGACATGAGCAACTACACGGGACGTATGAATGTCCTGCAAATGAGGCAAGTACTGATATTAGCTCTAAGTCAATGTAAAGATCTGGAAGGAGGGCAGAGCTGAAAACAAGTCAAGACAAAACGAAATGAAACAAAACTCACCTCTAAACATATGGGACAATTCTGCCTGGAGACATTCTCAATGCACTGTTTAAAAACAAAGAGAATTTTTTTTTAATTCACAACTGGATCAAAGAATGTTTCAGAGCCACCAAAGAAGCAAAGGTCAAATACTGGCTAATGTAAGAGGTAGGAGGAAATGCCTTTCTCTGAACTGGAATATAAACTGTACATACAAAGAGATAAATACACAGATATATATGGAGAAGGGAGAGGAGAAAGAGAAACTGAGAAGGGAGAGAAAGCAAGGGGAGAGGCCTCCACGAAGGATCTGAACTAGGGTAGAGATCATGAGTTAAAAAGGAAATGGATGGGAAAGACTTGCAACATGCAATCTGATATGGCTGAAGGGGAGCCCAGAGGCCAGGGTTCAAACCTGAAGAGTAACAGGGGCATTGAAATTGGATGCAAGTTTAGGGGAGGGAGTTAGGTTAAAAGTACAGGCTGTTAATAAGAATGACAATGATTTCCAAAAACCTCCATCATAAGAGCTGACAACACTGCACTACACATTATGTTAAGCAGTCTTTAAAGGTTTAGAAGAAAAGGCAGGGAGTTCAGTGACTTTGAAGTGCCTCTCATTTGGCCTCTTGCAATGGCCCCCTGTCTCCAAACTCTTCCCTCCTCCAAACCACTCAGTGAACTCCAATCAGACTGACTGTCCTCATGTACAGCACTGATCACATCTAAGACACCTTGCAAACCTAATAAAAACCCAGTTTGTTCAGCCTGGCGTCTGAGGCCTTCCACAACCAACCCACTTTTCTCACTACTTGCCTTCTTTATCCATACCCGAGCCACACTGAACTCCTTATCCCCCCATTTCTTACCTCTGCACATCCCCTCAGGTCCCTTTCAATCCATTTCAAACCACACTCTCTTCCTCCTCAGAACCCACAGATTCTCATTCTCAGAAACCTAATTAGAACAAGGCTTTCACATAGTTTTCCCCAGTTTTACCACCCTCACCCTGAGAGAATCTGTCTGTCTCTCTAAGCGTCAGGGCAGTGGGTCCCTAAATTCTCATTATGCCCTACTCAGTCTATCTTGTATTGCAGTCACTTTTGTGGGCATCTTAGCTGCTTCACTAGCCCTTAAGTTTTTCAAAGTAAGCATCTTTCCTTATTTATCTTTGTTTCTGCTCTGATTTCACCTTATTTCTTAATATACAGTCTCAAATAATAATATCTTGGTGGATGTGCACGCAAAACCCTGAAAATTTACTTAGGTGTCAAAGTAATCTAATTTCTGTACCTTGTGATGCCCTTGCAGACTCAAGGACAGGCAGAGGTTACATTTCAAACAGTGAAAAAATTCTTCCTTTGGACCAATCCTGATAAGAGAAAGAGAGAGCTGAAGGCCAAGGCAAAAAAAGTTACACAATTTTTAGAATTCCTTTTCAAATTAAAGAAAGCCATTTAAATTCTATCTCAAACTGGAAACTTAAGCCCTGAGTTTCTCAAAGCCAGATGATGGAGAAATGAACAAAATTAAATTACAAAGAAAAAAATCCTAACCATAAAGAAAATCGAATATTATAAACAAAGACCAAGAATCTTTTCCTAAAACAAAAATAGAGCTTTAAGATCAATGGCATTTTATTTTCTGAAACAAACCCAAACTAATTTCTACATTACCGAATATGTAAAATCTAGGATCAAGATAATTTCCTACCAAGAACTTTTATTCACCACCCAAAATTCAATCTCCTCTGTAGTGGTTTCATAGTTTCCATTATACGACACTTCAGAACAGCTTTTCCACTAGAGAATATTCCTATTCAGATTCAAAGAGTAAGCAATCTTTTCCTTTTACATGCATACATCAATGCATAGTGATGCATTCATTTAATTAAATGCATATCAGAATGGGATAGTGGTGTCATTAAGCACTTACTGCTTTTTCATTCCTTCACTCAACACTGGTACAATGACAGTCTTAAAATGAGCCCTGGCTTTCCTGGAAATCACAGGCTCAGGAAGAGCTCTGCAATTTCCCCTTCAATTCTGGACTCAACTCCCCTTTCCCATCTGGTCTGTACCAGACAGACATACTGGTGGAGAAAGTAATAAGGGAGATAATTCTACGTACAAGTACAGGCAAATCATTCAGCACTCTGTTCCTCAGTTTTCTTAACTGTAAAATAAGGGCTAGTATTAAATCATCTCCAAATCTTCTTATGCTTCTAAAATACTATGAAAAGGAGGTCACATGGAATAACATGAATGAACTCTAAGTTACCTGGAATTTTAACTAACTGGTAATTCCCATTCATACACAATGTTTGATAAAATGATGAAACTTTGACTTACACAATCACTTATGACCTTTGGTTAATGTGTAACAATGGTTATTGGCAACATGCAAACTGTTTAAAAACAATGTGTTGTGAGCACTCACTGATGTGATGGTGGCACTCCAGACACTATACAAGGAACAAGGGAGAAAAATCTCTATCCTGGTTGTGGTCCTTTCTTCTTCTTCACACAGATGCAAGTAAATCAACCATTTCTTTCTTTTTTTTTTTATCAGGATGTTCCAAAACTCTAGTCAGTCCATGGATGAGGCTGACACTTTGCTAAGTCAATATGGCTTTTGCAAGTGTTGTATATGGGAAATTTAAAGTCTGTGCCTAAGTCTCCTGTTAAAATCAGGCCATTCTCGTGGATAAATGCCATAGAGCTCCCTAGGAAAAGAGCTTGGTGTCTCTCTTTTTTTTTAATATAAATTTATTTTTAGTTTTCAATATTTACTTCCACAAGATTCTGAGTTCCAAATTTTCATCCCATCTCACCCCTCCCCCCAGCCAAAGATGGCATGCATTCTGAATATCCCTTCCCCTAGTCTGTCCTCTCTTCTATCTCTCCCCCCCTTCTCTTATCCCCTTCCCCTTCTATTTTCCTGTAGGGCAGAACAGCCTTCTGTACCCCATTTCCTGTATTTCTTATTTCCCAGTAGCATGTGAAAACATTTTTTTTAAACATATGTTTTTAAAACTTCAGGTTTCAAATTTTCTTCCTTCCTCCCTCGCCACCCACCTTCACTGAAAAAGCAAGCAACTCAATATAGGTTATACATGTGCAGTTATGCAAAACACTTCCATAGTAGACATGTTGTGAAAAACTAACTCTATTTCCCTTAATCCTATCCTGCCCTCCCATTTATTCTATTCTTTCTTTTGACCCTGTCCCTCCTCAGAAGTGTTTGCTTCTGATTATCCCCTTTCCCAATGTGCCCTCCTCTATCATCCCCCTGCTCTTGTCCCTTTCTCCCCCTATTTTCCTGTAGGGTAAGACAGATTTCCATACCCAATTGAATGTGTGTGTTATTCCCTCCTTAATCGAAATCCTATGAGAATAAGATTCACTCATCCCCCCCGTTTCCCCTCCACTGTAAGAGACTTTTCTGTTTTTTTTGTGAGATAATTTACCCCATTCTACCTCTCCCTTTCTTCTTCTCCGAGTATAATCCTCTCTCATCCCTTAATTTTATTCTCCAGATATGACCCCTTAATCTTCAACTCACCCTGTCCTTCTATCTATCTACTATCTACATACATATATATTTTTTTCCTCCAAATACCCTAATACTGACAAAGGTCTCATGAGTTATAAATATCATCTTTCCATGCAGGAATGTAAACAGTTCAATCTTAATAAGTCTCTTATGATTTCTCTTTCCTGTTTACCTCTTCATGTTCCACTGGAGTAAGTCAAATTTTCTATTCAGCTCTGGTCTTTTCATCAAGAATGCTTGAAAGTCCTCTATTTCACTGAATGACCATTTTTTCCCCTGAAGGATTATACTCAGTTTTGCTGGGTAGGTGATTCTTGGTTGTAATCCTATCTCCTTTGCCCTCTGGAATATTATATTCCATGCCCTGCAGTCCTTTAATGTAGAAGCTGCTAAATCTTGTGTTATCCTGATTGTGTTTCCACAGTACTTGAATTGTTTCCTTCTGGCAGCTTGTAATATTTTCTCCTTGACCTGGGAACTCTGGAATTTGGCTATAATATTCCTAGGAGTTTTCCTTTGGGGATCTCTTTCAGGAGGAGATCTGTGGATTCTTTCAATTTCTATTTTGCCCTCTGGTTCTAAATATCAGGGCAGTTTTCCTTGATAATGTGTTGAAATATGATGTCTAGGCTCTTTTTTTTTTTTGATCATGGCTTTCAGATAGCCCAATAATTTTTAAATTCTCTCTCCTGGATCTATTTTCCAGGTCAGTTGTTTTTCCAATGAGATATTTCACATTGTTTTCTAATTTTTCATTCTTTTGGATTTGTTTTACAGTGTCTTGATTTCTCATAAAGTCACTAGCTTCCAATTGCTCTATTCTAATTTTTAAGGAAGTATTTTCTTCAGTAATCTTTTGGACTTCCTTTTCCATTTGGCCAATTTTTCTTTTTAGGGTACCTTTTCTCCTCATTGGCTTTTTGGACCTCTTTTGCCATTTGGGTTAGGCTATTTTTTAAGGTGTTACTTTCTTCAGTATTTTTTTGGCTCTCCTTTAGCAAGCTGTTGACTTGTTTTTCATGATTTTCTTGCATCACTCTCATTTCTCTTCCCAGTTTTTTCTCTACTTCCCTTACTTGCTTCTCAAAATGCCTTTTGAGCTCTTCCAAGGCCTGGGACTGATTCATATTTTTCTTGGAGGCTTTGGATGTAGGAGCTTTGACTTTGTTGTCTTCTTCTGGTTGTATATTTTGATCTTCTTTGTCACCAAAGTAAGATAATATAGTCTGACACTTTTTGCGCTGCTTGCTCATGATCCCGGCCAATTACCTGAGTTTTAAACTCCTTGTTAAGGTAAGAGTCTGCTTCCAATGTGGAGAGTGTACTGTCCCAAGCTTCAGGGGATACTTGTAGGGACCTGTAAATTTTCAGTTCTCACAAGGTGGTATGATAAGGGGCGAGGTGTTTACTCCTTTCCTGGCCTGTGACCACAAGTATTCCTTTCTGTCCCGTAACTGTGAGGAGGGTTTCTCTCCACAGCCACTACAAGCTCCACCATGCCAGCACTCCCCCTCACCCCAGCACTGACTGCCGCCCAGAACTGTGACCTAGATCCAAGCACAGGCAAAGCAAGAGATTCCTGCCTCCACACTGGCAAAGAGATTCCCACAATCCCTCTCTGATTAGCCACTGGATTCTCCCTCAGTCTGTGGGTCAGAAGCCCAGGAGGCAGCTGCCCCACCAGGGCCATGCTCTTGGGGAATGGAGCAGAGCCCCTAAGTTTCTCTCTTAGCACCGGAGAAACAGACTTTTCCCACTGACCTTCTAAGTTGTCTTTGGCCTTTGTGGACTGAGGAGTCTGGAAACCTCCACAGCTGCCCACTTCAGTCCTCTGAGGCCTGCAAGCCCACGCAGGGCTATGCAGGGCTACGCTGCACTGCGCTCCCAGCCCAGCGCGATACACCTTTCTGATCAATCATCCAGGTTGTCTTGGGCTGGAAATTTGTTTCACTCTGTCTTTGTGTGGGTTCTGCTGCTTTAGAATTTGTTTAGAGCCATTTTTTTATGATTATTTGGAGGGGTTTGAGAGGGAGAGCTCAAGCAAGTCACTGCTTTCACTCTGCCATCTTGGCTCCGCCCCCATAAATCAACCCTTTCAGAACTGGCTCAAAACTGACATCTTCCAAATCCACACTACTGATCCCCAAGTCATCTTATTTCCGTATTTCCTCAGCGCTTATACTGTAGTTTCCAATTAACAGTTCAGTCATGTCCAACTCTTCATGCCCCTGTGGACCACAGCACATCAACACTGTCCATGGCATTTTCTTGTACTGGAGTGTGCTGCCATTTCCTTCTCCAGTGCATTAAGGCAAACACAAGTTACATGACTTGCCCAGGGTCACACAGCTAGTAAAGCTGAAGCCAGATTTGAACTCAGATCTTCCTGAGCCCAGGCCCCATGCCCTATCCACTGAACTGCCTCACTGCCTTTACAATTCAGGATGTTCCATCCATCCAGCTCTGACAGAGCCATTCAACTCTCCAGTCTCTCCTTTATATCTGGGATGGCCCTGAGATGATTCTAGATTATCCAGATCTCCCACAATCCCAGAATTGAAAGCTGATAAGAGAACTCAACAGCCAACTAGTCTAACCTAGAGACCAGTAACCACTCACTGCTAGAGAACATAATACAAGAGGGACACCTGGGCACACACTGATATGGACCCCAGATTTCAAGAAGGCAGAAGGGTTGATTCAAAGGAAAGATAGGTAGGATCCTATTGACTAAAACGCTTCAAGGGATGTCAGCCCAAGAGGAATAGACACTCAAGAATAAAATTCTGAAGACATGAAGAAAAAAAGTCAGAGGGGAGAAAATGGGATTTGCCTAGAAAAGCTAAATGTAGATATATCAAGCAGTTTCTATTTCAAAAAGAAATTTATAGAAGGTTGCAAGGCTAGGTACCAGAGGATGAAACCAAGAGGGCATAATATGGGTGTATAACATGGGTGTAATATGGGTGTATAAGTTGGCGAGGACTGTCAGCACAATTCTGAAGGACTTATGATGGAAAGGTGCTATCCATCGCCAGAGAAAGATCTGGTGGAGCCTGAATGCAGATCTAAAAGACTTTTTCTTTATTTTGGGGTGTGTTTTCTTTCACAGTATGACTTACAAAGAAATGTGTCTTGCATGACTACACATGTATAACCTATGCCAAATTGTTTGCCTTCTCAACAGGGGGCAGGGGGAGGATTTTGGAACTCCATTTGAAAAAAGAATATTAAAATTGTTTTCACTGGGAATGAAGGGGGAAATAAAATTTCAAATTAAAAGAAAAAAGAAAAAACACTCAGCAGTGCTAAAACACAGAAGGCACCAAAGCTAGGGAGGGAGGGTAAAGACAGCAAAAAGGGATGGAGTCTGCAAACAAATAAAGCCAGCTTGACTTCAGTCCCCAGGAAAACTCCACCATGGTTCAACAAAGAGATGGTTGGGAAGCTGTGATTACAAGGGCCTGGCATGGCTCCATCAAGAACAGGTCAAACCAGACTAACCTGATTTCCCTTTAGCCAGGGTCGCTCTACAAGTATTAATGTTCAAGTTCAAGGCATTGGCTTTGAAATAGTGGCAGCAAGGGAACACGGTTAAAGCGCTAGACTCAGGAGTCAGGAAGACTTAGAAACAGAACCCAGATGGAAATACTCAATTAGATCATTAACAGTGTAACCCAAAACACTGCTGGTCTGATAATATGTGCTAGGCCAAGGCCAAATGACCGCATTGGTGGGGAGGGGAAGGGAGAGGGATGGGAAGCAACTGAAATCCTACCAGCAAAAACACTCAGCGGAATTCGTATTAACTTAAGGAGAATGGTGATTCTGTGTCCATCTCCTCACCAGCTGCCTGGCAAAAGCCTGCCACCAAGCTCTGGAGGTTCACCCCTACCTGTGCTCCTGCTGCAACTTCAGCTTGCACCTCACTTAACTCACTACTTCAAGGAGGCCTCAATCACATTTACTCTACTTTCCCTAACAGCTGCCTGGCCCGTCACATGATCTATTCAAAAGACCACTAAGTTGATACATTCAGAATTATTTGGGCCATAAAATAGTTTACATTCACCAGAGGCAGCTCTTCTTGCAAGAACTATAAGTAACATGTGCAGGTTGAATTCAACGTAAAAAACACACGTATAAAACAAAAACTTTATACAACTAGCAGATTTACAGGAAGCAGCCATATAAAGTGTCCCTCTCCAAAGTCGTCTCCCTGGGAAGACATATCAACAAAAGCATGCTTAAGGCATTTTTTAAGGAAAGGTTTCTAAAGGAGGAGGGATTATCTTCCAAGCTACACAAGAAAAGTCAATTTTATAGCTCTGTAGTTGCCCTCATTTTCTAACGGTTTTAACTCAACTTGATTATTTATTATCTTATTCCCCAGACTTGGCTATACATTTGTTGTTGTCATTTAGTCGATTAGTTGGGTCTGACTCCTCATGACCCCACTTGGGGCTTTCTTGGCAAAGACACTGGACGGGTTTGCCATTTCCTTCTCCAGCTCCTTTGACAGATGAGGAAACTGAGGCCCAATCTGCACTTGGCTCCTCCGGAGTCGGCACCACCTAGCTGCCCTGGCTAGAAATTACAATTCCAAACATTCAAAGCCAGTCTCAGTGAATAAAGACTTGCCACCACCGGGATATTCCGGACAATCAGCTGCAGCCTCTGAAGAGTTCAAAGCATACTAATGACAGCTTTCTTAGAATATATAAGTATACAGCACCTAAACATCAGAAAGTCAATTTACACATACAAAATGTGCCAGGCAAAAACAAATTTCCTAGTTTTAAGACTTCTCAGTTATCAATGAAAAGGAGGATTTAAGCTCCACTTTCCAATGTCTATGCATTTTAAGAGCAAAGAGAATAAATGGGGAAAATGGCAAACTCAAACGTTTGACATGACTCAATTCACAATGACTCCTATGGATGGGAAAGTCCAAGATAGGCTTTATTTCTTCTGTGAATTACATTCTGTTAATTTTGATTACTTATAAGTTATGCTTATTTAATTTTCTAACTCCCATAAAAATTTTTTGAAAACTTCTTTTATTAAAAAAAAGTTTGTAACTTTAAAAGCAATCATCATTAGCTCAATGATGGAACAATGGATTTTCATTTTAAAAGGTCTGAAGTGTTTGACTGTTACCAACAAACTTAAAAGGAATTTGTTTATATAGTTAATTAAGTAACCAATACTCTGAAGGAGTATTCTAATTATTTACTAGCAAGGTATAAAATTATATGACTTCTTATACTAAATCAGAATCTCTAAATGGTACATTAAAGTTTAATTATTTCCCAAATGCAAGAGGTACAGTGGTTTTTAGAAACGTTTTATGAAAAGTACCACAGAAATTAAACATTTATCTTAATGTTCAGTAAGAAATAAAATCACTGAAAACAGCTATTTCCCTATGCCTCTTACAAGTCTGATAGCTATAGATGGATATCACTTATTTAAAAATGTAAAACTACAGAAAATAGTTTACCTCAGTTGTTTCTCAAACACTCGACCTGAAAATATTTGTTTATAGTAGAAGTTTAAAAAACTAAGACAATAATAATGATTTTTAAAATGATGGTATTAAAAGCAATGGAGGAGGGGACAGTTTACATACAGTACCTACAAATTCCACATTTCTCACAATGGTATTGTTTCTTGTCTTTGTCAAATAGGTGGCATATATCGCAATAGTATTCTCCAAACACAGAACTACATTCTTCACACGTCTGTTGAGCCTACGAGAAAATATGATATAAATATTTAAAATAAATCATCAAAACATGCTGAAGTAGAATTCTAGTACCCAGAATTACTAGTTCTTATCAAAGTACATTAATATTTTTAACTAATTTTAGTTGATACAGAAACTATTTCACTCTTAAGATTAAAAGCGCATCTTCACACAAAAACAAGATCATAGAAATTTAAGAACTTTCAAATCATCTCAGGATAAAGAATGCTCACAAAATAGAAATGTATCATAAAGCCTTACATTCTGAAGTTTTCCACACTTGGTACACAGTACTTCTTTCACTTTAAAACGGTCCAGAGGATGATCTTCGTTGTTATCATGGCATAAGCGGCAGATGTAAAGTTTACCACAGCAAGGGGCCTGTCCAAAAGAAGAAAAGATTTCCATGTATTAATTTTTTCTCCTTTTTTCTTCACATGAGATAAGCAGCACTCTGCAATGGAAGTCAGAAAGGCTGCATTGGAATTTCATGATTAGCTGTGACCCTGACAAGCCACTCAAACTTGAGATGAGGGTGTACCACATCCCTGGGACATTAAAGTCAGTCTCCTTGGCCTTTCCCTGACCTTGTTAAGGCCAATGTGAAAATAAGCTCTGTCATCAAGAACCACACCCCCCCAATGAAACAGTAAGCAAACACTTTGTCAACTTTGGTCAAATTCAAAAACGTTTTGTATTTTGGGGCACTGGTGCTCTCCAGGCTTATCAGCTTAGAGGGCTAATCCAGGACCAATTTCCTCTGCACTTTGATTCCCTCCTTTCAATGTTAATCCATTCCAAATATGAACAAAATAAACGCAGTGCCCTATAGAACATAAATGCATTTTCAGAAATTTCAACTGAAATGCACTCCATTAACGGGGTGGGGGGGGGGGGAAGAGAACCAGAGCCAAGATGGCAGAGAAAAGGCAGGGGGGCTTGCCAGAGTTCCCTCAAATTCCCCTCCAAAGAACTTTTAAAATAACACCTCAAAAAGAATTCTGGAGTGGCAGAACCCACAAAAGGATGGGAAGAAAAATTTTCCAGCCCAAGATAACTTAAAAAGTCAGCAAGAAAGGTCTGTCACACAGGGGTAAGAGTGGAACCCTGTTCAGCACAGGCAACACTTGGGGAAAGCCAGCAGCAGGCCTTGGAGGCAACTGAATCAGCAGCAGAAGTAGCTTCCGGAGCTCTCAGCACACAGACCATGAGGAAGTCGTTCAACTAGTCAGAAGGCAATCTCAAGGGTCCCTTTGCTGACACTGGGTGCAGGGCTCTGTTGCATTACCCATACTCAGATTCAGGTCACAGTTCCAGGGCAGGGAGGAACATTTGCACGGCAGGGCTCCCAAGCTATAAAGGAACAAGGACCCTGATCACAGCTCCAGGGTGGAAAAGAGTGCTTGTGGTTGCTCAAAGACCAGAGCACAGGCCAGGAGAGTAGTAAACACATCTGTCCTTAGATCACACCACGCTGGAAGAACTGAAAAACTTACAGACCTCTAGAACTACCTCTGAAAACAGCTGAACAAAAAAATAACCTTGGGACAGTGTCCATTCCATCCTGGAAGCAGAGCCGAACTTCAATTTAAAAGTCAAGAAATAGGCTGGAAAAATGAGCAAACAACAAAAAATAAATAATAAATAATTTGACCATAGAAAGTTACTATTTTAACAGGGAAGATTAAAACACAAACTCAAAAGAAGATAATAACTGCTATATCCAAAAACCACACAGAAAAATGTAAATTGGTCTTAAGCCCAAAAAGAATTCCTAGAAGAGCTCAAAAAAGATTTTAGAAATCAGATGAAAGAGGTAAAGGAAAAAACTGGTGAAAGAAATGAGAATGATGCAAGAAAATCATGAAGAACGTCAACAGCTTGGTAAAGGAGGCACAAAAAAGTACTGAAAAAAATAACACCTTAAAAAAACCAGAATAGGCCAAACAGTAAAAGAGGCACAAAAATTAAATGAAAAGAACTCCTTAAAAAGCAAGGATTGGCCAAGTGGAAGCTAATGATTCCATGAGACATCAAGAAACAATAAGATAAAAATCAAAAGAATGAAAAAAATAGAAGGAAATGTGAAAGAACTTCTTGGAATAATAACTGACCTGGAAATTCACCAAGGACAGAATTTAAGAATTACTGGGCTACCTAAAAGCTATCATAAAAAAAAAGAAGAGCCTAGACATCATCTTTCAAAAAATTATCAAGGAAAACTGCTCTGATATCTTAGAACCAGAGGGTAAAACAGAAATTCAAAGAATCCAACGATCAACTCTTGAAAGAGATCCCAAAACAAAAACTCCCAGAAATATTATAGCCAAATGCCAGAGCTTCCAGGCCAAGGAGAAAATACTGCAAGCAACCAGAGAGAAACAATTTAAATATCATAGAGCCAGTCAGGATAATACAAGTTTTAGCACTTTCTACACATTAAAGTACTGAAGGGCTTGGAACAGGCTATTCCAGAGGGCAAAGAAGCTAGATCACAACCAATAATCACCTATTCAACAAAACTGAATAGAATCCTTCAGGGGAAAAAAGTGAATATTTCATGAAATAGAGGACTTTCAAGCATTCCTGATGAAAAGACCAGAATAGAAAATCTGACTTTCAATACAAAACTCAAGAGAAGCATAAAAAAATACATGAATGAGAATCATAAGGAATTCAAATAAGGTTAAACTGTTTCCATTCCTAGCTGGAAAGATGATACTTGTAACTCCTAAGAACTTTATTAGGTGTTAGCAGTATACATAGACAGATGTGATGGGTATGGATGTGAGTTTACTATGAAGGGATCATATCAAAGAAATACAATTAAGGGGTTAAAAAAAAAGGGATGTACTACAAGGAGGAAGGGAAAGGCAGAATGGGGTAAATTATCTCACACAAAAGGCTCAAAAGAGCTTTTACATCAGAGAATGTGGGGCGGTGTTTGAACCTTACTCTCATCAGACCTGACTCAAAGAGGAAATAACATACACACTCAGTTGGGTATATAAATCTATCTTACCCTACAGGAAAGTAGGAGGGAATGGGGATAAGAGACAGGGGGGAGTGGAGAAGAGGGTTGATAGAAGGGATGCCAGATTGGGGAAGCAGTAGTCAGAAGCAAAACACTTTCAAGGTTGGTCAGGGCGAAAGGAGAGAGTACAATAAATGAGGAAAATAGGATGGAGGGAAATACACTGTTACTAATCATAATTATGAAAAAATTTTATAGCAAATTTCTCTGATAAAGGCCTCATTTCTCAAATATGTAGAGAACTGAGTCAAATATATAAGAACACAAGCCATTCTCCAAATGAGAAATGGTCAAAGCATATGAACAAGAAGTTTTCAGGCAAAGAAATCAAAGCTATCTAGTCATATGAAAAAATATTCTCAATCACTAATGACTAGAGAAATGCAATTAAAACACCACAGAGGTACTACCCCAAACCCTAGCAGATTGACTAATGTTACAGAAAAGGAAAATGACAAATGTTTGAGGGGATGTGGGAAAATCGAGATACTCATGCACTGTTGGTGGAGTTGTGAACTGATGTAACCATTATGGAGAGCAAATATGGAACTATGCCCAAACAGCTACAAAACTATGCATACTCTTTGATCCAGCAATACCACTACTAGGTCTGTATCCCAAAGAGATTTTTTTAAAAAAAGAAAAGGACCTATATGTAGAAAAATATTAACAGCAGTTCTTTCTGTGGTGGCAAAGAATTGGAAATTTAGGGGATGTTCATCAATTGAGGAATGGCTGAACAAGTTGTGGTTATATGATTGTGAGGGAATACTATTGTGCTCTAAGAAATGATAAGCAGCATGTTCTCAGAAAAACCTTAAAACACTTACATGAACTAATGGTAAAGTGAAAGAAGTAGAATCAGGAGAACACTGTACATAGTAACAACAATACTGTACGATGATACGTTGTGAATGACTTAGCTATTCTCAGCGATACAATGATCCAAGACAATTCTGACGGACCAATGATGAAAAAGTCCATCCGCTTCCAGAGAAAGAACTGATGGAGTCTGAATGCAGATCAAAGCATACTTTTTTAAACTTTATTTTTATTTGGGTTTTCTTTTGGTCTGTGTTTTCTTTCACAACATGACTAATGTGGAAATGTTTTGCAAGACTACACATGTATAACATTTATCAAATTGCTTGCCGTCTGAGGGAGGTGGGAGGGAAGGGGAAGCAAGAAAAGCATTTGAAGCTCAGTATTTACAAAAACAAACGTTAAAAATTGTTTTTACATGTAATTGTGAAAAAATAAAATATTAAATTAAAAAAAGAGAAGGCTCTATCTTAATTAGATAGTTAAACTACCAGTCCCCTGGGTGAAGTCCTATCCTGGAAAAAAAGGAGACATTTAGAGGTCTTTTGAAAATTAACAAAAGGAGGCCCACGTGGGCAGATCAGGTTCAGGTGATTCAGCTACCAATGCTCCCCTGAATGACAAGACCACCAGCCAATAACCAGGGTGGGCTTGAAGCTCATCTTGGCTCTTCTGTACTGAGGTGAACATAGAGTGGAGGCAAGACCCCAAGCCTTTAGGCTTGTGGAGGGAATTATGATTTTTATAATAATCTATATTTGTTTTTTTCAAATGTGACAAATCATTTGGTTAATCACAACCTCCCTAGCTCCTTCCTCATATGGGGGGGGCAGAATTTGATGTGGTGGGATGGATACAGTGCTAGTCCCAGACTCTGACACTAGTTGTATGATTCTGGACAAGTCACTTAACCTGTCTGCCTCAGTTTCCTCATCTGTAAAACAGGGGTAGTAAGAGCAGTTGCTTCCCAAGGTTGTTGTGAGGATCAAATGAGATGGTACTCATAACGAGCTTTAAAAAACCTTAAAGAGCTGTGGAAAGGCTAACTACACAATGACGATGATGATGATGATGCCGATCACTGACAGCCAGACCTGAAGAGGTCCAAATCCAGCCTCAGACACTCCGAAGCCGTGTGACCCCGGGCAAGTCACTTCGCCTCGGCGTGCCTCAGTTTCCTCAGCTGTACAATGGGGCTAATAGCCACACCTGCCTCCCAGGGCTGTCACTTTGGAGCGTTCAATGACGGCCGCAGCGGTGTCTATCTGGAGGTGTGTCCAGACCTGTCTGCCTGTTGTCCCCCCACCCCCCCATGGAAGGCTGTGAGCTCCTGGAGGGGCTCTCTACAGTAGGCGCTTAATAAATGCATAGGGACTGCCCCCGCTGTCAAACCTCGAGCCCCTTCCGCTCTCCGCACTAACAGCCCCCAACCTCGGTTCTGGGACACTCGGCCTCCCGCGGGCGCAGATCCTCCCCGCGGATCGCAGCCCTGTTCCGCAGAGCCCTGCCCCTCCCCCAAGGGCAGAGGCTGCCTCCCCTCCCCTCCCCCAGCCCGTCACCTTGAGGAAGCATCCGCGGTCGTAGTGTTCGCAGCCCCGGCGCGCTCGTCCCGGACCGCCGCCAGCGTCTTCGCCCTCTGCCGTCGCCATCTCCTACTCCTCCTCCCGCCCAGCGCCGGGTCCCAGCCCGCGCTGGAGCCGGAGCCGGAGCCGGGGCCGGGGCCGCTCTAGGCCGCCGTCGCCTCTACTGCCCGGCCGCGCAGCCCCACCGTCCCGAAGTGCCGCGAAGCACGTGACCCGCTCGGACAGCTCTACTTCCGCTTCCTGGGACGACCCGGCGGAAGAGGTAGTGCGGTTTATAAACCCTTATGCCACCCACCCCCGCCCACCTCTCCCATTCGCTGGAGGCCTGTGTGGTCCCGCCCCCAGCTTGATGCTCCTGCGAAAGGAGTGGCTGGAATATCAGGGAGCCGCCCTGCGCTCGGCTACTGACGAACCAATCCAAGCCTCCGAACCGGAGAAGCTCCGCCCTCTATTCGTGACTGGAGAAAAGACTGCAAAGAGAGCGCCTGCGCGTGGAACTTGGCTCAGGTCCTACTTTCTCAACCACTGAAGCCCCGCCCCTTTTTGTTGAGGAGGCGGGGTCTGGGCTGGGGAGGAGGAAGCTGTCCCTCTCTCTTCACCTGCCCAAAGTTACCCTAGAGGCACTACGCATTTACCGTCATATTAAACATCCCAAACTGGAAGAAAGAAAAGAAGTCAACTTGCCTTTTTACTTGCCCTCTGTGAAATTGTCTTTGCCTTAGGTTTTGGGGACACTGCCTTTACCCGGGTCCTTGTGACTGATTAATAATCAATGCTGGCTGATTAACCCAATACACATCAAAGTGCAGAAATACGCATCAAAACCACTCTGAGGATTCCCCTCCAAAAAAAAGCATTTATTAAGCGCTTACTGTAATCACTAAGGTGAGGATAAGCAGGTCTATAGGTAAGTTTCATGCTCCTCTCTGCATCTTGATTCACACCTTCATTACTTCTCACCTAATTTATTGCAACAGCTTCCTGACTGAAGTTCCTGCCTCGGTATCCTCCAGACAATCCTCTAGTCTAGCAAAAACAATAAATCAAGCTCTGAGTGGTAACATTTGCTAATCTCCAAGGTGTAAATGCTCACTCTGGAAATTTCTAAAAATTTAACAGTGGCTCCCAGGTGCCAGTAGGAGTCAGCTCCAGCACACCACAGAGTTGAAACCACTCCCACTCGGCTCTTGGGCCTTGACCAGGGTGAAAATACCTTTGAGACTGAATCAATCAAACAGACCTGAATGGGACTTGGGGCTGTGAACCTCCTTGAATCAATCAAAGCCATTGGTGAGGACTAGTTCAAGCTCTAAGCAATAAGGGAGAAGCTATCTCAGATTCAAAGCATATGAATTCTAGTTCTTCAGTCCTGTCGGACCTTTCAGAACCCCGTTTGGGGTTTTCTTGGCAAGGATACTGCAGTGGTTTGCCATTTCCTTCTCCAGCTCATTTTATAGATGAGGAAATTAAGGCAAACAGGATTAAGTGACTTGTCCAGGGTCATTCAGCTAGTGTCTGAGGCTAGATTTGAACTGAGGAGTATGAGTCTTCCTGACTCCAACTACAACTACTCAGTCCACTGTGCAACAAACATGGTGCAAAGGGAAGACTGAGCTGTGGCAGAGACAGGAAAAAAACAAGGGGAGTCATTGGCTTTGTAAGCATCTTGAGATTGGAGGACCCAGGGGCAGAGAGAAGGCCCCCCCACCAAAAGGTCAGCCCTTTCCCTAGCTTCCCTCCTCCTCCCCAACTATCTATCTGTCTATCCAAAGACACAATAATTAATCTAAATCTGCTGTTTTGTTACCCACTTGCTGCCTGTAAACTAATTTTGCCAAGGGCTAACTAGAGGTAGATATAAATAGAAAGTTAGGCAGAGTACCCAACCTCCTCTTAAATGTTAGGTATTTTCCTCACTGGGAGCTCAAAATATTTGTGGCTGATCTCACAATTCTTCATTTAAAATAACTCCCTAAAGCCCAAGAAGAAAGAATCAAAGGGACCTTAGGTGCCATTATATTGCCCACTATGGTTTGTTAACATGAGCTCTGTAATGGCTATACTGACCTGTCAAAGTTACACAACTAGGCAATTAGAAAGATTTCTGAAACCCCAAACTGCTTGACATAGCAGTGATCCTTGCAAGTGAACTTGAGCAGAATTTGGAGATGCCTGCAGCTGCCAGAAACCACAGAACCAGCCTTGACCAGCTCAAGGCAACCTTGAGCAGCAGCTGCAGACTGGAGAGCTTGGTGGGAACTTTCTAAACATCCTGGTTTATTGTGTCTACAGAGGTTGCCCTTTCCCTGACAACTTTGACAACTTCCCCTCCTTGAGAAACTACTAATAGCTCACCCTTTTCCACACCCTTTTTGAGTATCTGAAGACTCAATCTCTCTCTTCTTCTTCTTCTTCTTCTTCTTCTTCTTCTTCTTCTTCTTCTTCTTCTTCTTCTTCTTCTTCTTCTTCTTCTTCTTCTTCTTCTTCTTCTTCTTCTTCTTCTTCTCCTCCTCCTCCTCCTCCTCCTCCTCCTCCTCTTCCTTCTCCTCCTCCTTTGCAAGTTTTCTTTTGCAAACTCTTCTCAGACAATGAATGCTTTGTAATCTGTGATTGGACTCTGTTTCATGTAGGGTCCCTTTTTGGGTCTGGGGTCTTCCTCTAACAGGTTAAAATGAGCTGATTATTAAAACAGTGTTGCATTTTGTAGCCCCAGCACTTAGCACAGCATAATATACATAGTCCTTCGTTTTTGAAGAGGACCAATGACATCACAGGGTGATGTCTTGACTCCCGAATGAATTGGATTTAAGGGAGGCAGAGTTGCTCAAAGTAGTCAGCCTCACTCTCTTTTCCAGAGGCATCAAAATCTAGTGGCAGAACAAAAGTCAAGATGACTGTGATGGCGCGGGATAGAGTGGATGACCTTAGTATCTTCCATGTCTGACCGTGCCCTAAGCCCTCCACGGTGCCTGCTTTAGCTGCCTTCTTGGCCATTGGAATAAATTGTTCTCATCTGCCTATTCCTCTGGGTAAAGTCTTCACATGCTTGGGGTAGCAACTAACTAACGGAGGGGTTTGAGGCTGTCAGTTACCTTCAACCCAGTTTAGCCCATGTGCCGAGACAAGTTTATGAGGTGTGGCCACTGCCCATGCTATGGCTCCTTGGAGCCACAGGTGAGAGTTGGGTGGCAGGTGGACACCAAAGGTGGATGAGCAGCCCTGAAAAGGGCTCAGCAGCCCTCGTACCAGAGGGGCTAGTCCTCCTTGAACATGCCATAATAAATGCTGTTCACTGATTTATTAATTAGAGTAATCAAACTTCACACCCAAAAAGATAAATGACTGAGGTAGAAACAAAATCGCACCAATAAGGATTAATTTGAAAGAAACGTCATGACTTAGAAAAAGAAAATTCCCCTGAACGTTCACCAGTAACAACTGAGTCTGCATATATTCCTTTCCCCCTCCCCTCATTGCGTCTTGGTACCTGACAGATCACATAATCTAGTTTTTGTACAAATCTAATCATCTAAGCTCTGATACTTATCAAATGGACTATATCTTCTTAAACAACTTTAGCCCTGTGGTTTATGAGCTTAAGAGTTTCAAAGTTCCTAACAGTGATCTGTTCTGACTCAATGCAATTAAAATGCAAAACCACATTTGAATCACCAAAGTTATGCCTTATGCCAAATAAATAAATAAATGCCTGGACTATGCAAGACCAAGCAAGAAACTAATCACAAACAGTGATGATCTCAACCCTTATGGAGATAAGCACCATTATTGTTGCTTTAAAAACAGCCTTGCTGTTTTTAAATAACATATTTACTTGTTATATGAGTAAAATGAAAAACAAAGTAGTCCTGCTTATCAGAGCAGTGTACTTTGGGTAATGGGACAAAATTGTCAGAATCTACACAGATTAAGGAAACATGGCTTTGAATATTTCTTCCACATTTTGGTCAAGGCATACTTTACGGTAGCTGAATCATAATAAGAGTAAGTGATACACTATGTTTAAATTCCAATTTTTTTCCCTTATCATCACAAAGTCATATTTTGATTTTTTATTTTCTTTTTTATAATTGAACATTATAAGCATCAACAAACATGAGTTCTTCAACTCACAAAGAAAAACCAAAAAAGGAGATGCTGTAGGCTTCTTTTATGTCCGGTTTGGTTTTTCCCCTGTGTATATGCTAGGGGTTTTATTGCAATTCAAATATAACATGGCAGTTCCCAAAACTGCTCAGCTTCTCTGTATCCCCCTGGATCTCTTTCTATTCTCTGTTGTTTATTTTTTAATTATCCATTGACATTTTTAATTATTTTTTAGTATCACTATCCTTTTCCCCACTTCTCTCTCTCCATGTAAAAAATTAAAAGCCCTGCCTTATAACAAATGAACATAGTCAAGCAAAATAAATTCATCTCTAGGCTATATCTGAAAATGTATGTCTCATTCTACATACCTAGTCCTGCTACCAAAAGGGGCTCTGGCACATGTCTCTTCACATGGTGATTGCTAGGGAGCTTGCTTCCTAAAGAAAGAAAAAGTTCTCCTTCTCTCCCTTCCACCATCACCCCACGGTGAAAAGGAAATTTAAAAAAAACCTATAATAAATAGGCCTGGTCGAGGTAAACAAATTCCTGCATTGGCCACATCCCAAAAGTAGATGTCTCCATCTGCATCATCACTCCATGATTTCTCTGTCATGAGGTAGGGAGGTGGGTTGGATGTGGAATTGTGGTTGGTCATTGCCTTGATCAAAGAAGAGAGAAGCTTTAGAACAGCTCTTGTACTGAGAAGAATAGATAATCGATTGTGATGGAGTCCAAGGATTGGTTTATTGCCATGAGGGCCCCGTTAGGATTAAATGACATAGATTTGTAGTGGATGCAGACAACATTGTTGTGTGATTACCTATACCTCTATTCACCAGCACTGTGAAAAGAAGGGGAGGAAGCAGATGACGGGAATAATCCAGGGATAAAGTTTGGCAGGGAGTGTGTGGAAATAGGACAAAGATAGCAAGGGATTCAAGGGTCACTAAGAGGTTGAGGTGGGAAAAGGAAGAGATATAATCAAAGGAGGGTTGATGGCTTGGGAAAGAACCATAGCTCATAGGGAAAATAACTCAAGGTGACAGACATGCCCACATATTCATAACATCAGCACTCCTAAATTGCAGCCACACACATTGGTCAA